CAACTTTGAATGAATATATTATTTCAAGTTCTATAGTAAAATATATCATTAATTGGCCAATAATTGATATTAATATATATATAAACGATAAACGAGACCATTCAATTAATAAATAATAATTACACTTTTTTTTTTTTTTTAATTTACACGACTATATTAAAAAACAATGAATTCAAGACTTGTTGCAATTATTATTTCGGCCGTATTATTAAATTTTATAGTTAGCGTTTATGGTGTAGATGAAAGAACTGGTAATAATGTATGTTCGCTATCGTTTCAAGAATCAGGCAGAACTCTAGGAAATGGCACACAGGATAAAAATGGTGTATGTCAAGAAACCTTTATGGGTGAAATACCAGATTTTAATCACATGGTGACAACTATAATTGTTTTTCCAAAAAATAACGATGTTATTGAAGCAAATAGAAATTTCACCTTCAAACAACTAATTAAAAATATGAACACCGGTTTCTTCGATGATCCAGCTAAGGAATATTACAAATTTCCACAAACTCTTGACAAAGATGGCTTCATACAAGGTCATAGTCACGTAACCATACAAAAATTGGACGGCGAAGATCAAGCACCAGATCCAAGAGTGTTTGCATTCTTCAAAGGTTTGAACGAGCGCGCTGTCAATGATATTTTAAGTGTAGTAGTTGGAAGTGATAAAAAAGAGGGTTTAGATCCTGGTTATTATAGAGCTTGCACAATGACTTCCTCGTTTGGTCATCAACCTACATTGATGCCTGTCGCTCAACGTGGAGCTCAAGATGATTGTGTTAGATTCACTGTCCAAAAGGATGCAAACAAAAAACGATCAATTAGATCTGGTATAAAAAAAGTGAAAAGACGTAATAAATAGATGCTACATAGATAAAATAAATAATCCAATCGACCAATTCATACTATATATTTAATAATAATAATTAATTTTGTATTTTATTTTTTTGGGAAGTTGTAATATTATTTTTGTGTATAAATTTATGATATTACTTTCAAAATAATAGATATTTTATTTATATTTAAGAGATTTTTTGTTATGAATAATTATATATAAATATATATAAAAATTATATATA